GGATAAATTAAGGTCCAAGCTTTCTGACATCATTGACAGCTGTAAATTTTCTTGAAATCATCTTGATTTTCATATATTTTAATCGTTATTTGACCCTTTAGGCCTTATCGTCCATAGTCGGAGTCAGTAAAACAACCGAATAGAAAACAGATATGGTAGACTAGAGGTGTCTTTTATTTCAAGATCATTGCAATGCAAAGAGTTGATATATGAATAAAAGAAAAAAAATTGACTGATAAAAAGTCCTGATATATCTGAATTTCTGCCCGAAGGCCACGCCAAGTGTTTTTTCCCTCTCACGTTTAAATTTTTGAATAAACTGCGTTTCTTAGGAATATAAAAAAGTTAAAGTGATAAATAGGCACAATTATGGAATTCTAACAATTTGTTGTAAGACACGGTCTACAAAGACTACTTCAAGTTATATATTATCAACGAGGACCTATAGCATCCTTCTGATACCAACTTCAGAGTATCTGTGTGTGAAATCAGTGCGATTTTTAACAAGGTATTTTTTAAAAAAGCTGTACTTTATGATGTTGATTAAAGCATAGTTTTTAATTTTAATTAATCGCAAGAAATAGTTGTGTTAAGTGTAGAAAAGTCGTTCGTTTTGATGTTAACGACTTAACGACTTCTGAAAAAAATGTCAGTTCTAAAATGTCTTAAAATGTCTTAAACTTCTTAGGAAATTTTGAGAATGAATTTCTGCATTACATCACTTATAGCTATAGAACAGTGTGTCTGATGATTCTCCTTAAACAACAGTTAATATATTTGTAAGGATAGTGGCTTTTAACCTTGCAATAAGGATTTTTATGAAGTTTAGAGACCAAGTATTGATAGGGTAGAGCAACTCAACTTGATTGAGTGTTTTATATACTGAAATATAATTTTGAAGAATTTCATATATAGAAAGTGAACTATGAGCAAAAGCAGGTATCCAAAAGTAGAATTAAAATTATATTCTTCTAAAATACAGATATAATAATACTGTAAATCACTTTTTATTCGCGAGATCTTTTTTTGCGTAATTACGCGAGACAAGTGTGCTCGAGAAAATTTAATTCTCTCGTATAATAGCATTCCTTAAGATAATATAGAGCAATAACCACAATTCGTGAAAATTTTGCCTCGCTAATCAAGAGTCTCGATGACTATCTCGCGAAAATAAGATGTCGCAAAAATTCAGTGATCTACAGTAATGAGTTTTGCAAACAAAAACTGGATTGTGAAATGACGTTCTGTCGCCAGGGCTAGGTCTGGGTTAGACTTATACTATAGGCCTAACAACTGCCGCTAGGGTTCGTTGTTAAGAACGACAACTCGTTGCTGAAACTTGTTTAGAGCAGGTCCGAGGTATATAACTGTTTATACGCAAGTCAGTAGAATCCAGTGATTTTAAATTTTAGCACTAATGTTAAACTTATTTACTATATAGTTGTGGACACCATTTTATTACATATAAGTAAAAAATTTTATTAAAATAAAAAGTAAAATTTACCCTTCTTCTTAGCTCTAACCTGATTAAATTATACTCGGCCGTTCGTCTTCGTGTTAGTAACACAAATGAGATAAGTTATTGTTTCATTTACTTGAAAATATATATGTAGGACTCCAAAGTGCGATGGGACTCCAAAGTCCGATGGTCACGCCAAAGTCCGATGATCTGCGCCAAACCCCGATGGTTTGACACGCCAAAATCCGATGGCGCAGAAAACAATTAACGTCTATGACGTCGTAGTAATACTGCGTAAGAATTCGATGCCTCGGCATGCCAATAAATAAATACAAAATATCAGGAATACAAAGACCAACCCTTGTCTTTTGGATGTAGGTGCGAAACTAAGACTTATCAGTGGAACAATGAGTATCAGCTCTAACCTAAATATCATAGGTAGGTGCAGGACTAATCTAAATCAGTCCAATAGTGTGCGAGGACTAACCCTAAAATCTCTCGGGTGGGATCGAAGAAGCACCTTACTGTTCAAGGACTAACCCTTATCACTCCAGTGGTGTACGAGGACTAACTCTAATACCTCTGGTGAGTGAATACAAAAAGCAATATCCGTAAATACGTATGTGAGACGAATACTGAATCAATTTATTTGAATGCAGAATAACGTCATGACGTCGGACTATTGTGACGTCATAAACGTTAATTGTTCCTCCGCACCATCGGACTTTGGCGTGTCAGACCATCGCACTTTAGCGTCGCGCGTCTCATAGGAAACGAGCCATCGGACTTTGGCGTGACCATCGGACATTGGCGTCCGGAAAGACAACGAACCATCGGGGTTTGGCGCAGACCATCGGGGTTTGGCGAGACCATCGGACTTTGGCGTCACCATCGGACCTTGGAGTCTTACATATATATATTTATATAGGGAGCGTAAGAGTGCACAATATTAAAAATAATGAATGTAGTCTGTTCCCCCATTCAATTGACCCTGTTATTTCAGGTAGAGTTACAATGAAGCGCATTGAAGTGGTAAAATTTTCCATTTGGATGAAACGTTCTGAGTCATGTTTTGAACGTCAATTATAACATAACGACACGCCCATTTCTTTAGAAATGAGAAAGGAATATTCGTCGTAATGTTTTAGACACTAAACTTTCCGCAACAAGCAACAAGAGTTACGCTAAAATGAAGATTTTCAAATAAGAAAGAGCTATTATAGTGTTCCCGCCTATGTAGAATGAAGATTTTTAAATAAGAAAGAGCTATTATAGAGTTTCCGCTTATGTAGAACACGCATTGCAACGATTTTGTACATAGTTATGATTTTATCATGTTTATTGGTGTTAGCATAGCACATGTATCAGTCGATTATATTTATGAAATACCTGTTCTACGGGTATTCGATTGAATCATTTGACAGATTTTTCTTTTCTAAAGAAATGGGCGTGTCTACAGATAGCTCAAAACGTTCCATCCAAGCAGAAAATTTTACCACTTCAATGCACTTCATTGTAAGAATTCTCCTTCTTACTGTCAACACTTTTGTGTACTAAATAATGTAAGGAACCCTTTTGTGTATATAGAAATACCAATGCTGAAGCAGCCTATATGTCATTTTTATAAACGATAACTCATAAATCGGCACTTAGTTGGTCATTTTTCACACCTGAGTTACCTGTCCTTAAAACACAACATCAAAGTAGTTATCTACAAATAATTAAACTTTTTAATGATTTAATTAAAGGTATGCATAAGTTATTATCTTATTTGATTAATTCATGTATATAAAAATCTATATCTATAAAATGTTTTTACCATATGCAACTTGAAAAATTAATTGAAAGGCCTATATGTATTAGATTAATGTTGATAGTCTTCAGATCCTTCGGAGGTTGAGTTAAGGGGGATGTACAAGCCATATTGGATCAAGTCTGGTGTAAAATAAGAAACACAAAAATGCGCTTAATACTCTACCAAACTAGCCCAAAGTTACTCAAAGTGCTAATGCACTCATTACGTACTGTAAGAGACCAAAATTAGTAAAGAATTAAGTTTATTTTGTTTTAATTAGGAGGAATTAGGAGGAAATTACACTGCATGAAAAGTCGCGTTTAATATAATTTAATAAATTCGTTTACTCCAGTAAATTTCTTGTATTGAATTTAATTTATGTATAACGGTACATTTTATATGAAATATATTGTGATATAATTAAGTACAGTTTTCAAATAAGTATAATCACATTTAATGCAAAATACGTCGAGAATAATATAGTTTAATTGAGAAAATTATACGTGTCGTTTAAGAATATCGACATGTTAAAGTAAATATGCTTATACTTAAAGTTTAAGTACATTTTTGGTATTTTCAATATGTCATAAATAATTCTTTATACCTAATGTAAACTTATGTTGAAACATTTTTGAAAAAAACGTTTAGGCACCCTATTAATTTAATTTATTCATTTATCATTTTTATTTATTTAACCCTTATGTAGATTTTTTCAAAATTGTGGAATATAACTTAGTTTTTTTTTTTCTCTATGATCGACTACTACTGTAGTACAATTACATCGGGATCGAAGTCGGGCTCGAAAAGCAATTAATTTAAAAACAACACACCGCGCCGAAATTCAATTTTTTTGGAGAGTTCCACGCAGCCATGTTGAACTTGATGATGATCATGATGTTGTACGGGGCGAAAGAGAGTGACACGAAAAGGAGAAGCATGATTAACTTTGGATGTAATTTCTGTTTTCACAGAAGATGAAGACATTTACGACCCTGTTTAGCGGTAGGAACAATGTACATTGTACAAAATTTTATCATGTGTCCTTGAATGAATAATTGCCTCTGCTACTGATAATGTTACTGTTCCTTAGTCTGGGCACTACACATAAAATGCCTGGCAGTAAAAGCGTTTGGGCAAGCGCTATTTAAATTTTGTAATAATTATTTAACACTTTTAATTATCTCTCTTAAAGATGGATTTTAACTAGCTGCAGATCTGTAGCTCTCCGAAAAATAAAGTATTGATAGACCGGAGAGCTACAGTGCCACCCATTGAAAAAACTGTATATTTATTGCGCACAAAAAAGTGCGCTCGGTTCTTAATTAATTCTTCCAAATTCTTACCTCAATTGCAAATAAGGAAAGATTTCAAAAAATTCCTTTATCTTCTATCAAGTACTCTCGTAATTGACATCCGAACGAAGCGTATTGGACCGAATTATCTTTGAAACCAAAATGGCAGTATAAATAAGCGAAATGTTTGATGATTACAATATCAGGGTCAGGAGGACTATTAACAATAGTTATGAGGAATGTTTGGTTGTGGAAACAGCGAAAGAATATGTTAGGAACACACGGTTAGTAATATTTTGAGATTACAGTTTTAAAAACATGGAGAAATAAATCAAGAACCGAGCGCACTTTTTTGTGCGCAATAAATATACAGTTTTTTCAATGGGTGGCACTGTAGCTCTCCGGTCTATCAATATATTTTTTTCGGAGAGCTACAGATCTGCAGCTAGATTTTAACCAGAATTTTCTCGTTTGGTATTGGTTTCAGAATTTTAGTCATTAAAGTGTTCCTCTGTTCAGCATTTACAGAGTATGTTGTACAATGTAATAAAATATTTATTTATTTCTTATGCATACTCAAGAATATATTTAGCACTTATTTTGATTATTTAAATAGTTGCAGTGGACTGTGCCTGAGACGATTCCCCACATCGCCGGCTATGTAGACAGCTTGTGAAAATGGTGAGAACCATGCAGCTCAAATTTTCAATTAATACAAATAAACTAACAATGTTTTATCAACCTGTATCTTTAAGCATAAGACTATAAAAAATATTGCAACAGCTTGAAATGCTATATACCAAGTAAACAAGACGAGGTTTATATTCTTATTTTCCTTATCCTAAAAATACAATAGCAATGGATTCTGAGCTATGCATAATTTTTTTTTTACGTTGAATACTTAAGCATGAATTATTAAAAATAGCTATCATATTCTATGATGCACAATTATGCATGCATTATTTACAGGAATGATCACAAGAAATGACAAAAGCAGTAGGAAGAAAGATTTAAATTTTCTGATAAGATCAATAAAATCACATGAATTGATTTTTTTAGCTCACCTGAGCTATTTTAAGACCCGAGCGAGTTTTCTTATCTGTGTCTGGTATTTGTCTGTCATATATAAACTTTTCAAATTTTTACATTCATGAGAATTAATCCTAGTTTGAACAAAAAAACCCTGCAAGATACATCTTTTCTTTCAGAAATTGTGCCAGAAAAGTTTGAAGTAGCTATGGGAATGATCAACATTGAACTTGCTGAGCCTTCCTTCTGAAAGTTACTTGACCAGATATTTGGCTACCCAGTATGAGGTACGAACTAATCATTTGTTGTACGACTTATTGTGTATGAGGTTGCCACCATTTACTAGAACTTTGCATTTGCTGTCCACTTTAAAAACCTGCTATCTACAGTGTAAGTTGTTAAATTAAATATATTTTACTTTATAAATAAATCACTTGCTCATTATCCCAATAACTTGCATGTTAAATGCTGTAGATGCTAACCTTTGCATTTTTGTTTACTCTTAAATTCAATGTGTTCCGAGTATGTACATCCATTTCATATCATGTTTTGTTGTCTCTAAATTTAATCTAATACATATCATAATATGTTTTTGAAATAATTCGCTGAACTAGATCACAAAGTTTAAGGATTTTATTATTGTATGAATGTTATCTACTTGCTCTAATCATAAATACATCTGTTTGTATATTTTTTCTACGAGATGCCATACATGCTTTTAATTTTTCATATTTTTTTTATTCATAGTATCTTTCTGTAACATTAAATAAAATATCGTGGAGGAACACAAAGAAAAGGGCTGTGCATCTCAACATATTCAAGGTCAAGCAGGTAAATACATTGGTAAATTGCTCAAAAAAAAAATGGCAAAAATTCACCAGTCCCCAATTTACATGTACTTCCACAAAATCTGTAGCTTGCTGTTGTTAAAATATAGATACGTATGTCTTAATATATTAAATGCTGTAAATGCTATTCTTTTCATTTTCGTAAACTTTGTAAATCTTCAAATTCCATGTGTTCGGACTACGGTACCATTATGCATGTTTCATATCATATTTTGTTGTCTATAAATTTGATCTATACATATAATTATATGGCTTTTTTTATGTAATTCACTTACCTAGATGACACAGAGAATTTTTTTCATTGTGTAAAATGTTATCTTCTTGCTTTAGTCATAAGTATACCCTATTTGTATATTTTTTTCTCCTTTTTTGTATATTCTTTCTACGGAGAGCCACACCTGTTATTAATTTTTCATATTTTGTTTGTGACAGCTTTTTACCATATCCATAGTATCTTGCTGCTAAATGAAAAAAATATATTCCGGAGGAGCAGAGAAAAGGGCACTTCACATGTTCAAGGTCAAGCAGGTAAACATAGTAATAAAATGCTCCAAAAACAAAAAAAATAGGCGAAAAAATCAATAGTCCCCAATTTACATGTATAACAACATTAGCTTCATAATCTGTAGCTCGATCGCTTGCCTGAAATTATAGATAATTATCTGTCTTTATTCATGTTATTACCCAGACTTGAAAAAATGGCATATCTTTTGTGGTCCTCTGTAATTTTTTTAATTAATCAAAATTGAGCTGTGTTTCCTTTAGGTCAATTGATAATTTTACAATCAACTCAGATTTTGTGTACTATTTAATATATGCAATTGCATAAATCCGGAAGCACACATATAATATGTATATATAGGCAAATTGGTATTTATTTTTATGTTTGTTGTAGAAATTAGGAGCTAGATGTGCTTCTCCAGAGCTGAAAACTTCTTGGCATGAAGAGAAAAAAAAGCAAGAAGAAGCAGTTTTAAATATTGATTACGTCTTCATAGTACAAAAAAATGATTCTAAAGATAATACTATCTATGAAATTAGAAAACTGAAGTTGCGTTCTGATGAATGTGAGAAAGTTTTCAAAGAACAGGACACCAAAAGTGCAACTCTCACATCAAAGCACTCTAAAAGGCAGAGCATAAGGAGAACTAGGACAAATAAAGAATCAGAAAAGAGTCAATCCTATGGATGTAGTGATTGAACAGAGATGGGCTATTAGAGATGAAATATCTGAGTTGCTACTTTTTTGCACAAATGTTATGCTTGTTTTACTTATCTTTAATTGACACATTCAGTGTTAGATAAGAAAAAAAATATACATAGTGTTGTATTTTTGACAGTGAAATTTTTTTCTGATGCTTGATTACAGATTGAAACTGTTATGTTTTTTATTGTTTAAACATTTATTGGTTTGTTGTGTAGTATGCAATCACATACATTTTAATTTTGATTTATATATTACATATATGTACAAGTCTGACTTAAATAATAACTGCATGGACATTATTGTGGAAAAAAATAAGACAATCAAGGGTAGTCTAAAAGAGCTTTGCTGGCAGTAAGTTGCAGATCTTGATACCCAAGTAAGAGAGAGGTGGCGTCTCTGACCGATCCTTTTGTTGTTGCTTGTGGGCGAGTGAGGCTTCTCTGTCAGTGGCTTAGTGAGTCATAGATGTAAAAAATAGAATAGGCAAATGAGGTAGAGACATTTCTGAGTAAAAAAAGGGGTGAATTTTGATTTTAATAAATATTACAATTGATATTGAAAGAGTAATGAGAATTGCAAGAGTAAAATATTAATTTGTTTCCTGCCAGTTGAAGTAAGACAGTTTATGACGAGAATCTTTTCCATTAAAATTGTAATTAAGGCTTAAAAAAATTTGTAAAATATACTACTGTTTATACAGGACTTTTATATGTGCATGTTTCAGAGCTCATTCTTGATATTTTAAGGCAAAGTTAAAAATATCACTATTGAAATGTCTTGCATTCCAATGTAAAGTTGATTTAATGAGGATATGTTAAATTACAATCATCAAGCAATAAACCTAGCAGTTGGAACAGAAATGAGCTACATGTTTTGGAAACAATTTTAAGCTGCTATTGTTTTGTGTAATTGTGATACTTTTTTCTTAATTTGAATTGACATAACCAAATGTTATAAAGGATTTTTTTGTGTGTTGTATTTTTCAGTCAACATTAAGTATTTTACAAGTCAAACTTGAATAATTAGTGCATGGACATCTATTGTGGAAATACTTGGGAAACAATATAAGGGTGGTCTGAAAGAGCTTTGCTGGCAGTAAGTTGCAGATCTTGATACCCAAGTAAGAGAAAGGTGGTGTCTCTGACCGATCCTTTTGCTGTTGATTGTGGGCGAGTGAGGCTTCTCTGTCAGTGGCTTAGTGTGTATTATTAAATGTACATGTAAAACGAATGGGCAACTTTTATTGGCAACTTTTATTCTTTTTATGCAAAGTATGATATAATTTATTGTGGGAAATTGAAAAGCCATTTACAACCCATGCAGCAGTTTTAATAGGGGCAGTTTCAGTCAGATTTTGCAGTCTTTTGGAGTCCAGAATGACTACATTTTTGACCTGTTGTGTTCTGATTTATTACGGATTTGAATTTTACATACAATTCTATTCTTATATTAAATTATTTATAATTACTTCAGTATATTACTTACTACTAGTATGTAGAAATTTACTCCATTATAATTGAGCTACAATCATGATTGTAAATTTTTAAATTCTGACTTTTAGGCATAAATTTGAAATATCTTGTACTTTGTTAGAACTCATTGTTTGTAGTCTATTGAGATAACATCTAATAAAACTGAATGAGAAATGCATTTGTGTATGATTGTAAAATACTTGCCAAAAAACCCGCAATTGTAAACCATACAAATTATTGATGGAATAAATATAAAATAAAATTATTATGCAATAATATAATAATAGTAAATTTCATCAAATACAACTTTAAATCTTAATGATATGGGAAGGTTTAATCCGTACATTTTCATCACTTATACACGAGATTTAATATTAGTTTATGAAAGATTAAAATTTGAACGTATAAGTAAGTTTACAATTTTCCATATAAAACGTAATTTTTGGAAGTATTATAAAGTAAAGTGTGAATTTAACAAAAAATAATGAGGTAAAGATCTACGTTAAATTTTATTAAACGAACAAATTTAATATGACCATAAAACTTTATTTTATGGCCATGTTTAATAATAATTATACGTTTTGTATATTAGAGGTATAATACTTGTTTACGGCAGACTTAAATCCGAACGTATTAGTAAGTTTACAATTTTCCAAACTTTATTAAATTTGTTCTTTTAATTTTTCATTAAACTCGTATTAAATGCTAATTATTTTCTAACATTTGTGATCCCACAATATGTTATATTATGCATTTAAACATTAAATAATCGCAGCATTTAAATCGCATTTAAGGTAAAATTAAACCCGACTTTTCATGCAGTGTTAATCATGTTAGAACTGCGCAGCTACAGCATTCAGGAGATGAAAAATGCACAGAAAATGATGTCAGTTCGATTTATTGATAATATGGCTACAGCCATTTGTTTCGCTTTTTTCTTGTCAATATCCATAATTCTTGAAAATTTGATTTTTCATATGAGGGTCTTCCTGAGGCCATGTGTTTATTTCGTCCACCATTCCTCTGTCACACAGAGTTCAAATAACATTGATTTTAGAATAAATGTAACCATAACAACACCAAGACAAGAAATTACTAAGTAATAATCCTTAGGTTATATAACTCACTACTTTTATTTGTTGCATCGCATCGTCTGATTAATGAAAAAACGCAATTTTAACCCCACTCCAGCAAATAGGGAAAAAATTTTGTTTATCGCTCGAGTTTTCTCGTTAAATATCATTCCACAGAGCACGTGGTTGGCATGTGCATATATCTGCTGTGGATAGATGCGTTTATTACCATGATTATATTTAATTTTTCATGGAACAAATCTTGATAATTTGTTGGTGTCTTTGAAACTCAAGAAAAATAATAAAAAAAAACCATGTGTTTACGGCGGGTATATTTTCTGTGGCGATAGAAGTTATTTTCAAATGGGGCTCTGCAAGGAGGATGCTTAAGCTTTTAATATGAAAATGTTAAACAATATGCGGTGCATGAAAAACATGTATTACATTCGAAAAGTTGGTACATATGTCTATTTTGTTTAGCAGTTAGATAGAAAAAATAGTCAGCTATAGGATTTCCTTCAGGCACCTTAGATAGTTAGCTAGGTTATTTGCGATGACCAACATATTGTATGGAGTAATGTTTAGACATAAAAACACATCATGTCTCATTGTGTTGACAAAGTTGTAAGCTCCCACTAACATACGAAGTTTGATAAAGTATACTGAGTTGTTTCTTTAAAATTTAAAAGACGCACAATGTTTGCAAAGAAAGTTCATTGCATATGCTATGTCTATCTTCGGAAAATAATTTTTGAGAGGCTAGCCCCCCCCCCTCCCCCCGAAAATCCTATGTTTGTTTTTCAAAATGGTGCCAAACCTTCAGAAATTTTGTATTACTAAGTATGTGATGGAACATGTACTAGCCTTATATTGTTAAGACCACTTTTTATAAAAATACTTGGTTGCCCTCTCTCCCGACCTACATGTACTGCCTAGAAATGGCCCGACTCACTTTATTTTACATCCCTTTACACGACATATTTTTTCTTTTTCTTCCGTCAACAAATATGTTTAAATTTTAACCCTTTCTCTTCCGGCGCATTTTACGTGTTTTTGGAGGCCTTTTGACATGGCATTATTAAATTATTTCTAACTTTTTTATCCTAGGTGAAAGCTAGGCTTAATGCATACCATTTTGAAGGGAATTTCATAGAGATAATATTTTATGACTATTTAGATGCTCAACCACTGACCTTATTAGTAAAAATTGAGGTCAAAGGTCAATTAAGTGCAAAATTTTATGGAATTTTTTGATACTTTTTAATCTTCAAGCTAAATATTAAGTATTATGTATGTTGAAATAGGAAATTTGGGATATACCCACAAAAGAGCATTATACTGTAGTACATGAAACACATTAACTTTTTTTTCAATTCTGCATATAACTACTTAAAAGGGGTTGCTAAGCAACGCAGAATTCTTTAATTTTCGAGCAGAAATTTTCATTTTTTACTCAATCTAGATACATTTATGCACACCAGCACATATAAAAGTTAGATGTGAGGTCATAAAATTACAAAGGACATACAACAGATAAATTGTCTTAAAGTTTGACCTTATTAGAACTTTTTTAGGAGGTCAAAGGTCAAATAAGCGCAAAAGTTTCATCAATTTTTTTCAACACTTTTCAATATTCTTGCCATAATTTTACACAATGGAATCTGAAATGGAAAATTCTGAATATACTCTCAAGAAGGGATCAGAACTGCAATATCCATGCATCATTTTAGTTCAAATATCTGTTTAATGACCTTTAAGTGGTTGCTAAGCAACAACATTTTAAAGGTTTTGGCTATATACATGTACATGTTTGTTATTTCACATTCTGGACACATTCTAGACACTCTTTGTATATTCCATGATATTGTTTGTAAGATATATATGGGCCATAAAATGAAAGAACATTTTTGTATTAAAAATTGACCTTGACACTCTTGTTCTTCAGGGGGTCAAGGTCATATCAGTACAGAATTCTGCTTTAAACTGTCAGTAAATATCAATTTTGAAATGCTTCATAGATGGATAAATCATCTAATAGTTGACGTAATAAAAATGGCGAACGACAAAATTTGCGTGCAAAGAATTCTGGTCTGCTTCTTAAAAACCCCTAGCAAAACACATATACAATCTTTTTGTTAAACAAGAAATCCATTCTCTTGATGCCATTAAAAATAATCTTTATTTTCATGGATTTAATCTTACAAGAAAAAAACACTAAATTATTTCATTACAAGATTTTTCTGGTATAACAGAGCTTAAGGGGTACAATAAAGACTTGACATGTTATCTTGGAGGGAAATAATAATAATAAATAGCATTGGCAATATTTAGCCCAAAACTGTTTAGACAATTAGTTGAAAATTTGACGCTTATATCCAAATATACAAATCCAGATAT